GTAACTTGTGCACAGTATGTACTTAGTTAAAGTTCATGTTTGCGCTAGCGAGCTCAAATTTCTGCCAATAAGATTATTTCTAGAGTTCTGTATTTTGAATTTTATTTTAGTGAGAGTGTGGTATACTAGGGTCGGACTGAATTAACATAAGAATGGTGGGGTAGATCTACTGAAGATTCGATCAGGATATTCATCCAACGTATATAAAAGCCAGTGTATGTCACGTCACAATTGATTTTTTTAAAATAGGAGCAGTCATAAAAGCCAAAATGCGTTTATCCAGATAGAATAGTTCGATTACTGTCTCCCCATTATGATTTTAGTGACGGGGATGCAAGGGGCCGTGAAGGGGGGATTGCCATGAAACCTCATAAATGTAGTGAGTGTTAGTATAATATACCTAAAGTAAAGACTTAGTGTGGGATCACCTGCCCTAGAGCCAAGTGCAGAAAACTTATCATGAAAGTAAAAGTACCGATTCAGTTTAAACTTAAATCGTTTCTGAATTCAAGCCGTCTCCAAGCGTTATTATTCTCGTCATCGAAATTGTCAATAGCAGGTGTCCTTCCATAGTAGAAGAGGTGGTATTTTGATGTTATGACCAAACAGCTATAAGAATGAAAGTTATCAGTCACATTATAGCACTAATCACTCTGAGTGAATACAATGATTTTTGGAAAGTACCAAATGTTGGATTTAAATAGTCTGATAAATGAATTCGGCCTGATCAGTTGGAGACATAGCACTAACAAAAAGCAACCATTCCTTGTTTAACAACAGCAAATAACCAAATTCTGTTTGTGAATTAATAAAGATTGTTAATTTTTTGCATTATCTTGTGTCTAGTCTCTTTCTTTCTCATTCTCAGTTATTCAATAATATTTCATAATTAGCGTACAGCCCGTCAAAAGTGACAAGGTAAGTACTACCACCCCCCACCACATAATGTACCCTAACCTCACATTTCATAACTAACTGAAATAAATAAATTTTGCGAAAAGTGCAATCGAGGCAGTCAAACAACAGTAAATTCCTTTGTGAGCCAATCAAAATTAAGATCATTCATGAAATGAATTCGTGGCGTATTCGTAGAATAATCATTGGTACATCAGCTAGATTAACAACTTGTAAAATATAGAAAAGCCAGTGCGTTTTGGTAACACTTATGTTCCAACAATGGCTTTTATGTCATTTCGCTTATAACAACAAAAGTATAACCTAATATTGTTGTTAGTCTAAGTACTGAAAGTATAAAATGAAATGTATAGACAACAAAACTGGAAAAAATATTTGTTGATTTCTTAATTTAGAGTATCTCTTGATTAAAAAGTTTTTTTTATAAAAAATGTTGGTGATAAAACAGAAAATAACTTAAACGTTGTACATTTACTGTTATGTTAAACTTATATTAAAGTTTTTCTTCATTACCCATTTCGACAAGGTTTTGTCATCGAATTTGAAATCTAACTTATATAAAACCCAGTGTGTGAGGTGCAAGGGAGCCGTGAGGGGAGGGGTGCCGTGAAACCTTATAAGTTTAGTGAGTGTTGGTATAATAAGCCTAAAGTAAAGCCGTCGTGTGGGATCACCTAGCCTAGAGCCAAGTGCCTACAATTTGAAACTTAGTTGAATGGACGGTAAATACCTGTTGTAGAAACACCTGAAGACGAAAGGCGGAAGAATTTCGAAACGTCGTCCTCTACACTTTTGTTTCTACAACAAGCAGTTGCGTCCATTAAACTAGGTTTCATCATGAATATTCTGCCTAAATAATCTATCAAAGAATGCATACATTTTATCATGATAGTAAAAATATCTATTCAATTTTAAACTTAAATCGTTTCTGAATTAAGCTCTTTTCTGTTATATCACCAACGTTTTTTAATAAAAACAAATCTCTTTAATCAACGGAGACTCTAAGTTAAGAAATCAACAAATATTTTTCCAGGTTTGTCGTCTATACATTTCATTTTATAATTTCAGTACATAGACTAACAACAGTGGCACAGCGGTATGTCTGCGGATTTACAACGCTGGAATCCGGGTTTCAATACCCGTGGTGGGCTAAGCACAGATAGCCCATTGTGTAGCTTTGTGTTTAATTACAAACAAACCTACGAGCTATAGAAAATGAAACTGGTGTTTATTCTATCCACAAACAAACAAACAACAATATTAGGTTATACTTTTGTTGCTAAGCAACATGACATAAAAGCCATTGCTGGAACGTAGTGTTACCAAAACGCACTGGCTTTCTATATATATTAGAAGTTGTTAATCTAACTAATTTTTACCAATAATTATTCTATGAATATGCCACGAATTCATTTCATGAATGATCTTAATTTTGACTGGCTCACAAAGGAATTTACCGACGTTTGACTTCCTCGAGTGCACTTATATGCCTCTTTATTGGTCAAGCTTAATTTCTCAAATTCTGTTTATTTCAGTTAGCTATAAAATGTGAGGTTAGGGTATACTAAGGAGTGGGGATGGTAGTACTTGCCCCGTTATTTTTGACGGGCTATACGCTAGTTGAATATAAAATTCACACTAAAAACAAAGTAAGATTAGTTAAAAACCATAAGACATATAGATAAATGGTTAATCTAGTGAACAGGAAAAAAAAATCACGTTTTTTTTGTATTACTTCAAGTTTGACGTCATTATTTTAAAATATGTGTTTTATCTTTATATACAATGCCGAGATAAAGGTATCCAAGATTCGCGCCATATTAAAAATCACCTGACTTCACTTATTTTTACTCCGATTCCTTCGCACAGTTGTGCCCTGATTTACAGCATTAAGGTAATGAACGTGTAATGGCTACAAAATTTGAACCGTTCCTCCGATTGCTTTACATTTAGCGTTTTTGGTGAGTTCCACTTAAATTCCTCTATTGCATTTCATGGAAATTGGGAACCAGCTTTTCATAATAGTTTGTAATACCAAACAAACAGACAACTCAGGTTTACACATATAAATAAAGTCGACTTTTCATAGCATAATAGGTTAAAAAAAGGCCCGTCATGGCCAGTGGTTAAGGCGCTCGACTAGCAATCTGCAGGTCGCGGGTTCGAATCCCCGTCATACCAAACATACTCGCCCTTTCAGCCGTGGGGGCGTTATAATGTGACGGTCAATCCCACTATTCGTTGGTAAAAGAGTAGCCCAAGAGTTGGCGGTGGGTGGTGGTGACCAACTGCCTTCCCTCTAATCTTACACTGCTAAATTAGGGGCGGTTAGCGTAGCCAGCCCTCGAGTAGCTTTGCGCGAAATCCATAACAAGCAAACAAACAATATGTTAAAATATTTAGGCGCACTTTGCTTTCTATTGATTTTTGGTTCAAAAAGCACTGCGTTTAATAATCAACTTGAATACATAATTTTAAGAATGTTTTTTTAGGGTATATTTTGATTCTTTGCTTTTTATTTCATTTCTAAGTAAACAATAAAATATATTGTAATTCCAGCGTACGAATTTAGCCATGATTCTTTTGTTATTGTTGTTTCTTGTTAAGCAGAAAGTTAGTTCATAGTGGGTTATCTTTGCTCTGCCCATCGCGGGTATCGAAACCCAATTTTTAGTGTTATAAGCCCCCAGACGTACCCGAACTATCAGGAAGCGCCACGAAACTAGCATATAAGACTGATGATGATCGTCTTTAGATAATAACCTTTGAAAATAAACGCAGATGTTTTATCTGTCTCTCATTATCAACTGTTCTATCTATCTATTTATCCAGTTCAACTACTTAAATAACAAAGTCGAAATAAGCTTTACAGTGACTGCTCGTATGACTTTTAAGAGTTCTGTCATAAACAAATGTTATATCTAATATTCACTAAAGGACATGAAGGCCGTCGGATAAAAAGCAAAAATGTCAACAAATTTAAGGTGGTTTTAATATTTATTAACAAGTTTGATTAACTTGTAAGGTTGTATTGTTAAACTTAACTGCAAATATAAGGTGGAATATAAAGTGACTAATTCCTAAATGGCAATCATTATCAGTGGCAAATACTTTAAAAACATTTTATTAAATTGTACAGCTCTAAGTGTCACATTCTAAGGGACGTTTATAACTTCGTTTACTTTAAAACTACGTATATATATGTATTCAAATGTAAAATTACCATTTCTTTATTGCTTCAAAAGTGTAATCAAGCAGACCTTTGCTTGCTAAAATGTACATATAAAACTGTTTATAAATAGTTTTTTCTTTGTTTGTATTCAAGCGCAAAGTTACACAACGGGTTATCTGCGCTGTGTTCACCATGGGCGTCAGAACCCGGTTTTTAAGTTTTAGCGTTGAAGACCCGCAGATTTATCGCTGAGCAATTGATGGTGGTGGTGGTGGGGGGGGGGGGTGTTGAGGAAAAGAAGCTATAATAAAAGATAAAATAAACCGTAAGGTACTTTTAAAACCAGAGGGAATCTCAATAGCCGCGGCACTTGAAATTATTTTGTGGAGGATTAGAGTAAATTGATCTATGAGATTTTTTCACCTTTATATTAGCTATATTTTTGTGAACTAGCAATACCAAGCTTCGGGTGCGCGCGTATACCCGATTCGATTGTATTACTCCTCAGTATCTCTACCAGCCTACCCTCAAATTGAAATTATTTTAGGCAGGATTAGAAGAAATTAATCTATGGGATCTTGGCGTGGTCAAATACATCAATCGAAACGGTTTGACCTCCGGAGTCCAAAACTGTAATTAGATCTCATATCGGCCAAAGGATGTGCTAAAAGTTTGTACTTGAAGAAAGAGCCATCCTGTGAGCCGCTATGCCGCGACTAAAAACCTTGCAAGTTAAAATAGAAATATATATTAGTTATGAATCTATTAACTTTAAGATATCAAACTTATCAGGATCAGTATAAATGTTATAAACATTAATGAAACATTCCTAATTCATTTGGTAAAGTAATAGAAACACACAATATTTAATTCAATTGTCATTTAGTAATTAGATAAGTAAATTCTATGTGTAAAATTAATGCACTTGAACCATTTTCAAGACCAAATCTTACACATAGTGAATCTGTATGATATTTTATAAAATTGTTAATAGTTAAATAAACATGGATTTATCCAAAAGTTCAGGTTTAGAATCAATAGAGGTACATGAGATCTTGTGGCCTGTAATTGGTTGAATATATATATATATATAGAGAGAGAGATTTGTTAAATTCAAGTGTAGATTCAATAAAGA